GAAAGCAATTCCATTAAGATCTGGAACAAGACAAGGATGTCCACTCTCACCATTGCTTTTCAATATAATACTGGAAGTCCTAGCCAGGGCAATAAGACAAGAGAAAGACATCCAAGGAATCCAAATAGGAAAAGAAGAAGTCAAACTATCACTATTTGCAGACGATATGATATTATACATAGAGAACCCCAAAAACTCCACAGAAAAGCTAATTCAACTCATCAATCAGTTCAGTAAAGTGGCAGGATACAAAATCAACACGCAAAAATCAGTAGCCTTCCTATACACAAACAATAAATCTGAAGAAGAAGAAATCGAAAAGACCATCCCTTTTGTTATTGAAACAAAAAAAATCAAATATTTGGGAATAAATCTAACAAAAGAGGTAAAGGACCTATACAAAGAAAACTATAAAACACTGTTAAAAGAAATAGAAGAAGACACAAAGAAATGGAGAGACATCCCCTGCTCATGGATTGGAAGAATAAACATTATTAAAATGGCCATCCTTCCAAAAGCAATATACAGATTCAATGCTATTCCAATCAAAATTTCAATGTCATTCTTCAAAGAAATAGAAAAATTATTGATGAAATTCATATGGAATCACAAAAAACCCCGAATAGCCAAAGCTCTCCTGAAAAAAAAAGAAGGGAATGGAGGCATCAGACTCCCAGACTTCAAACTATACTACAAAGCCATAATCATCAAAACTGCATGGTATTGGAACAAGAACAGACATACAGACCAATGGAATCGAATAGAAAATCCAGAAATAAACCCACAGATTTATGGTCAACTAATCTTTGACAAAGGAGCAAAGACTATGCATTGGAGCAAAGAAAGTTTGTTCAATAAATGGTGCTGGGAAAACTGGGTCGCTACATGCAAAAGAATGAAGCTTGACCACCACCTCACACCATACACAAAAATCAACTCAAAATGGATTAAAGAACTAGACATAAGACCTGAAACCATAAAATATATAGAAGGAAATATAGGCGAAACACTACGTGATTTGCACATCAAAGACATCTTTACAGACACATCACCCAAAGCAGTGATAGTGAAGGCAAAGATAAACAGCTGGGACTATATCAAATTAAAGAGCTTTTGCACAGCAAAAGAGACAATAACAAAAACAAAGAGAAACCCCACCAACTGGGAGAACATTTTTGCACCCAACACTAATGATAAAGGACTGATCACAAAAATCTGCAAAGAGCTGATGAGACTCAACAACAACAAAGAAAATAATCCAGTCAAAAAATGGGCAGAAGAGCTTAAAAGAAACTTCTCTGAAGAGGAAATGCAAATGGCCAACAGGCATATGAAAAAATGTTCAACATCACTTGTCATCAGGGAAATGCAAATCAAAACTACCATGAGATACCATCTTACACCAGTGAGAATGGCACATATTAAAAAAACTAGCAACAACAAATGTTGGCGAGGGTGTGGAGAAAAAGGAACTCTTCTGCACTGTTGGTGGGAGTGCAAACTGGTCCAACCTCTGTGGAAAGCTGTGTGGAGATTTCTGGACCTACTAAACATAGAGCTTCCATATGATCCAGCAATTCCACTCCTAGGTATTTACCCAAAGGACACAGAAACATCAATTCCAAAGAACACCTGCACCCCTATGTTTATAGCAGCACTGTTTACAATAGCTAAGCTTTGGAAACAACCCAAATGCCCAAAAATAGATGACTGGATCAAGAAGATGTGGTACATATATACCATGGAATATTACTCAGCATTCAAAAAAGATAAACACATGCAATTTGCTGCAACATGGATGGCGCTGGAAGGGATCATGCTCAGCGAAATAAGCCAAAAAGAAAAAGAAAAATACCGGATGGTCTCACTCATAGCAGGAATCTAGAAAACTTAAATAATGGACCAGGAAAATGAAAAACTATAAGAAAGTGAAAATCAAAATCAACAAAAAACTATGAACCAGAGACACTTTTAGGGGGGCGGGGGCGGGAGGGGAGGGATTGGGGTCAGAATGGGGGGCGGCAATTGTATGGGGAATATAACAATAAAATTTATAAAAAAAAAAAAAAAAAATAAATCATATACCATACAAAAAAAAAAAAAATAAAACAAATCAACTCACCCACCTACTTTCTACCACAGACTTGTTTCTCACAAAGGTTTGGGAGATCACACTAAACTCAGATATTGTCTCATGACAGATAATATGCAGTTTCTTCTATTTTTTTTTTGTTCAGTGGGGTTGTATGAAATTACCATATTCCGCAATGTTTCTAGAATTAAAATATTTGAAAAATGAAATACCAAAATGAAGAGACTGTGGATCCTAAATGTATGAACCTTGGGAAACTGGAACATTAAGTAATATTTATTTGCTCAGGCATGTCATTTCTAATCTTAAGTCTATTTCAATTTGTTCCACCCTAGAGAACATTGGAAAATACCACCTGAAAAAAGCCTGTTCTTTTAGCAGCCCTGAAATAGTCAAAACTCTGTTTTTTTGTTACTATGACCTAGCTTCTTCTTTTATTAAAGGTTATAAGCTACAGAGAATGTACCTAGTAAGAGGTATTTATTTTTTGCCAAAGAAAAAAGCTCTGCAGATATTTTCAGACAGTTGAGTCAACAGGGCTTTAAAAAACCTTGTCCTTATTTCTTTGTGCATTGGAGATACTTCTTATTTCACCAAAACTTGCTAACCAAGCATTGAAATACTCATTAATTCAATTAGCAATGATCTCTACAACTCCCCATGTCACTCAGGCACAGTGCTAGGTGTTGGGATACGGCAATGAGCAGAAAGAGACACCAAGTGTTCAAATCACACCAACATGGAGTGGGGAAAGATAGCGTTATTAAATAGTCATGCAAATTAGTAAGAACTTTATTAAGAGCTCCAATTTAAAGGACTTGGTGCTGAAGAATCTTGAAAAGGGGATCTGACTTGGGTAAGGAGGTCAGGGAAGGCTTCCCTGAGGAAGTGGCCATTGCACGGGTACATGAACAATGAGAGCTAAAATTGCATTCTGTGCAGAGGCAATTACTTGCAAAGGCCCTGTGGGACAGTGGATGTGGCATGCACAAGGGAACAGAAGGTTGGCGTGGCCAGCAGGCAGAGTTGGGGACATGTGATAGCGACAATGTTGGGGTAGAAGGAGGCTAAGCCTACCAGGTGTTAGACCAGACTGGGGATAGTATTTTTATCCTAATTTTATGGAAACCAGTCAAAGGTTTATAAGTATCAGGAGACAAGATTAAGCTTATATATTGCGGGGGTCCCTAGAGTAAAAAAAAGCCTCCCTGGTGGCACAACAGCTTAAGACACAGCACTATGAAGCTATCCACAGCCACTGCAGCACACTGCAGCACGGCCAGGGAGGTGACACGCATGATGCTTCAGACCTCTCCTGTATAGCCCGCTGCTCCCCTCAGCAGTATATTTCAGTACCTCTGCTTGTTCTGCTCCCCACTCTGTCTCTGATGAATCCTCTCACATCCCGCACCTCTGGCCTACACCCCAGTTCTTGTATGCATAAATAAATCAATCTTAAAAAAAAAAAGCAGGAAGCGTATTGTAGGGGCGAAGAGTGAGTATGGGGGGATGAGTTGAGACTATTGTAGTTTTCCAGGCATCAGATGGTGGCATATTTGTTGGGGGATGGGGAGGAGGTAGGGGGTTGGTGGTGGAGATGGAAAGCAGCCGGAGATTTGAGGCAAAAGAAGTAGGCCCTGGTGACAAACTGAATATATGGCATGACTCTGCATTTCTCTGTTGGCCAGAACCTTTCCAAATTAAGACTTGTGCAGACCTGACTTATTTATTCTCCAAAGAAATATTTCTTTCAGTGACTCTTTAGAATTCATTTACTCCATTGCTATTTATGGAGCACCTAGCATGTATCATTCTGGCTGCTAGAGACACTGGACAAGGCAGATCTCTCATGGACCTTGTGCCCTGTTGGGATGAGAAAGTCTGTTTCAGGTGAAAATTAGTGCAAGCACAATGAAAACAGTGTTTAAACTACAGGTCAATTTTTCTTTTGGCAAATCATAATAAATGCTGGTGGTTTTTTGTTTTGTGCTTTGCAATTTCCGTATCTCTCACAATTTCTATATACCTCACAGGAATCAGAGGGGCAGGCAGGAAGGTATAAATTGAGGAACCAGGGAAGATGAGGACTGCCAAGGCCACAAAGCTCTAAGAAATTACTGCTTGGGCTCAGATTTACAGAAACCAAGATAAGGATTTCCCCTCCTTTTAAAAATTAAAACCATAATCAAGGAGGCTGCAAAGCAGCCTCTTGGAGAAGAGCATCCCTTTCTTAATAACTAGTTGGAAAAATAACAGATTTGAGTCTTCTTCTCTCAATGAGGATAAGAACACTTTTCTATATTAAATTTAGGGAATGAAAGTGGATTTCTTTTCCCTTTATCATGAGCTAAAGTAACAGAACCAGATTCTTTCTTGGTCAAATGAAGGTAGGTCAATCAGGAAAGTTCTGACTTTGTATTAATCCATCCGGGGAGTAGTTTCAGGTAACTATCTTAGAAGCTCCTGCCAGTACCCTGTGGGGAAAGTTGAAACCAAGGGAATAAAAAGGCAGGTAGGTCTGTGTTCATCTTACTCAGGCTTCTTCCTTCCTTCGAGAAGCTGAGTTAGGTGAGTAATTCTGGTGCTATGTCTCCATGACATTATCTTCTCATATTTAGCTTTTTTTTAAAAAAAAGATTTATTTATTTATTTATACAAGCACTGGGTACAGTCAGAAGCACGGGAGGGTGAGAGAATTCACCAGAGCCAGAGGGGAGAGCAGAGCAGGCAGATTGACAAAGTACACTGCTGAGGGGAGCAGTGGGCATGGCAGAAGAGGTCTGTGCACCATGTGGGACCTCGCCAGGTGGCCGGGGATCGAACCGGCGCTGCAGAGACTGACGGCAGCTTCACAACCCAGTGCTCAACCGCTGCGCCACTGGGGAGGACCTCATATTTAGCTTTTTTTAAAAAAGATACTCATGAAGGGCTTTGGGTCAATATTCTTCTGTTTTCATTAATAACAAGTTTAGTTTTTACAAGATTCTATTCGAAAGCTTGATCACACAGGGTGGTTCTGAGGATGTGACCTAACTTTCTTTGGCTTATTTGCAATTCTCTTTTCTCAGTTCTGAAGACTCTCAATTCTCACTAAACAAGTATATCAGTGATGCTATCTCCTTTTGACCGGAAAAGATGTTTGTCCTTGTATCTGCTCTATTTCCCATTACCAAACCAGAAAACCCACCTATCTCTGGACCAAACAGACAATGATATTATTTATCAAAATAAATTTATTAAAAGTATTCAAAGACGACTTCATAGTTTAGCTGCCTTCAGGGCACTTTGGCACTCATCATGGACACTGGAGCTTCCTACACAACAGCACACATTCTGATACACACACCATTTGACAATTCAAACACAGACCATTTCAGTTTTAGTGTTACATGAGACAACAGTACTGCTGATATGTAGTCCTAAGAACTTCGATCCCCTTACACGTAGCGAACAGTTTCATGTTACTCGGTACTACAAAACTAAAACTAAAACCACTATGTCGGTAGCATGGACTGACAGAAGGAGAAATGGACAGCCAGCTAGCTAAGGCCACATTATCCCAGACCTATTGATTTTAAATGCTTTTGGACCAACAGTATCATCTGGTGTCTTTCGGTCTCTCATTCTAGTGTGAGAGCCACAGAGCCCACTCTCTCCCTGTGCTCTGTACAGTGATGGAGGCTGTCCCGACACACACCTCTCCCAGGCGGTCACCAGCTTCCTGTGATTCACTACCCAAGTTTGAATCAATAGTTCTGAGTGATGCTTCCTGCACACCCAGCTGAATTCAAGGTCAGTCTTTTTGGCGGGTCACAGCTTCTCTCCTTAAGAAAAACATGAAATGTCCTCCGCGAGGCGCTCCCTCTCATCTCATGTAGTGTGGGGCTCTGTGCTGATCTGAGGCTTTTTACACAAGTCCTGGTAGAATTCTGACTCCAAGAAGCGGGGGTAAGAGTTGTTTTCCATCAGGCTGTACACCCTCTTCTGGGCCGTGGTAAAGCAGCCACTAGTAGCCTCTTGTATATTCTGGGCAATCAGGGTTTTGGTTTGAAAGTCTATGTTAATCTGAAATAGAGCAAATAAGTGGTTTATTATGTATTCAGAGTTGGACACAGAATTCTATTTAATATTTGAAAACAACAAAGAAATTGAAAAGACTAGGGGAAATCATTTTTACCATTCCCACCACCCTTTAATTTGACATCCTTTCAATACTTTTGCTTCCCTTTGGTGCAAAGTGTTTTAAATAGTTGAAATGAGGAAATCTCCCCCCTCTTACCTCTTTTGGAGCTTCTTTTTCTATGAAGTCAGTATATATTTTCCTTGCTTTTGAGGACAACTTTTGGGGCGACTTGGTTTTTTTGAAGTCTTCACAGGCCAGCCAAAATTCAATATTTTCTTCACAGAATTCAGATTTTAAAAAAGCCCTGAATGCAGCAAGACCATCTGAAGGGGGAGAAGAGGAAAGCATGCAGGTAAAGAGCTGAGTGACAAATAATCCCTTTGATTTTTTTTCCCTAGAACTCCCCTGCACCCCACCCCCCCCTAGTTTTACTGTTACTAAGGGTAGCAATTTTCTAGATTTCACTCAAACCTGTAATCCTCAGAATTCAGCTCTTTAAAGCCTAAGGTGCCAGTTCACAAAATGCTTACATTGGCACACTGCTCCAAAAATGTAAACACTTAACTTTGCTGTCAATGTCAGTCTTTATAGGGAGGGCTGCCATACGTTGTCTGGCCACTAAGCCTCCAGAAAGCTCCGTGTGCAAATGGAAAAACTGACTCAACCTTAACGCAGAGCAACTGCCACAACAATATTTTTTAGGCTAATTTCCCTTCCCCACCTGGAGTGCATAAGCCATGCATTTCCTTGGTTAAACACTGGGGAATAAAGGAGAAAAAAACAGGCCTTAGAGGACAGTGACTGTGGAGTGGAATTCTCCTGGGCAAGCTGCTCTACTATTGTGTGGACACAAACTTTCCAGACTCCTAAGATCCTTGGAATGGATCAAATTCAAGAGGTTAACTTACATTTACTGGCGAGCAGCTCATCGAAAGCTTCCGACCACAGCTGTGCTTCCTCAGGAGAAGGTCTGCAAGAGAAGTATGCATATTAGCTTGAGCCCAGTACAGTTCCCCTTTTCAGTCTAGTAGCTAGCAACTGCATAGTTACCCACGACAAGATATGCAACTTACTTGATGAAGGTTTGCTGCTTGCTTTTCTTGTTGGTTTTGGGTTTTCCGGGAGAGGAGGAATTTTGCAAGAAGTAGCTCAAACGGGTCTTCCAATCTTTTAATCTAAAACAAACCAACAAAAAAGATATTCACTAAGTGATAACACTTTAAATGACTACCCCTGCTGAAGGCATTTTTACCAAATAAAGTCATCCAGTAACTATAGACAAGCCAAATAGGACAAAAATGAGAATTCTGCAAGTCATTCTTATTTAACATTTACACCAAGCACCTATGTATTGAATATAATTAGCTGCAGCCAGGCACTGGAGCATCACTACTAGCTTTGTAACTAAGAGTAGAACTACTTAAAATTATTAGGGTGTTGTAATGAATATGGTTTGCTTAGTTCAAAAGACGTTATTTCTGTCCTTCAGCAATTTTCCTGCAACGTTAATTACATTTCCAAGGCATTTCACTGAACACATGCAACAAACAGTGGAACAGCTTTGAGCTGGTCATTCTCCATGCTCCATGCTGGCTCCTTTCCTTCTACCTTTAGAGCAGGAGGCTCTGTACCACTCTAGCAGCTGTCTACAATGAGGGTTGTGTGTGCCCGTGCTAGTAGTACTTTACCCTCCCCTCGACAACAATCACTTAAAGCAGAGGATGCAGGACAATTACTGTTCCACAATCGTGAGTGAGATCTGCTGTTCAATTTAGAAAAGGGGACTGAAAGCGAATATATTCAGAACCAGCACACATCTCCATCCCAGTAATTGTGGAAGCTAATCCGAACTTAAAATGCAACGTAAGGCTTTTGGGGACGCATTTCTGATGCAGGATTCTTTGATGTCATTTTAAAAATGAAGGGGACAAAAAGCCAACTCCTCAGTTTCTTAGTGCAACCACCACCACCTCCACACCAAGATTTTTTTCAGTTCCTAAATTCTACCCGAAGCTTTGATCGTTTCTCAAAATAAGGAGATACCATACAGATTAAACCTTCCTTAGCACGTTAACCTTTTGCATACACCCCCTCCTTTGCAGAGGCGCAGACTACATTGTTTTTTCATGCTAAAGCCGAACCCAAAGGTATGGCGCTTGCAGCAAACCGGACAGCTAGGTATGCAGGGGATGCGGGACAAAGAAAGCCATACTCACAGGGTCCGCTTCATTTTCTCCCGCTTCTCCTCGCTCTTGGGGCCGTTGCCTGCGCTCTTGTCCATGGATCCGCAGTCGTGCTGGACAGCCAGGAACATGGCACTTTGCATTATCGTCTTCCCGCTGGGGACGCCGTTGTGTGCGAGCGGGCTCGCGCCGCCGCATTTATAAGGGTGCAGGGGCGGGGCCTCACGGCGACACCCCGCCTGCAGAGAGCGCCCATTGGCCGATGGCAGCGTCGCGGGGCGGGCGGGGTGAGCGCGGGCCTGCGGCGGTCACGAGCGCCCACTGAGGGTCTCGGAGGGAGGCCCTGCTGACGTCTGCGCGCCCCGCTCGCTCGCCCTTGGCCCACACCGCGCCTCGGCCGGGGCGTGTGGGCACAGACCCAGGCCTGTCACTGGGCGCAGTGGCTGGCGACCTTTCAGGACTGTGTGCGCCTCCAGCGGAGGGACCGAGCAAAGCTGGCGCCAGCAGGATCGTGGCTTGCCGTGCGCTCCCCTCGCGCCCCTAGTCTCCCCTCACCCAAGCTTACCTTCCCCAGATCACCAGCCCGGGTCTTGAGTGCTCCCCAGGGAAAAGGCACTGGCTGCGAATCAGAGCGCATTGCCCTGTTATGATTTAAGAAGATACCCCCTCCCCCATTTTTTGGAGCAGGAGTCCCAGCCCCACGCCTCTTTTCTTGATCGGTAAAACCGGGACCACGGGGAGACCCTCCCCTGTTCCTCTCTGCGACGCCATTAAAGCTGGGGATGGAAACGATGAACAGGAAGAACAGTGACGGTCCAGGGGCAGGTGGTGTGGTCTGCTCTGCAGATTGCCTGGGCATTCTCGGACATCAGGAATGATCCTCAGGCAGGAAGGAAAAGGAGAAAGTGACTATTTAACGACAGTGCTTTAATGGGTTGTGCGTATTTGATCCCCAATATACATGTGTGATTGTGTCTGTTTGTGGGCTTGCAGGTTTCTATGTACGGAGTCCTTGGGTGCCTCTCTTTCCAGAACAGAAGTCACAGATTTTCTCCTGATGAAATATAAGGAAACACTAAGAAACCCGCAGCCGTAATGCACCTTGTCATAGGCATGCAGGGATGCAGACTTTCCTTGTGAGTCATCTTTGGGTTGGCTTGGAATTTACCAGAACACTTAATAATTAAGCAAAAGGGAAGGGGGAGGAGAGGATAAACTAACATTCTGCTTGAATATGTTTAATTTGTCAATTTTTCAAAAGATTACTTCTACTTTAGCAGGTTTTAAATGGTTTCATGAATAAGGACAAATAACCTCAACTATAAATAATTGGATTTCAGAAAACGTTATCAGGCTGTGCGGTGGAATAATCATGTGGTGTCCCCATCAAGCATTAAGTAGACACTAAGATTAACAGCAAGGTATTAATTAAACAATGTATTCTCTCTACTTTGCATAAGAATCATTAAAATAATATTTGAAGGCGTTTAACATATTCTTATAGTGAGCTACCAGTAGTTGGAGCTCCAGGTTTGGTTTGAGGGGTAAAATCTGAAATTATTATTAAAGAGAACAGCCATGTACTTTACCGTGGAAAGAAAA